TTTACTTATTTTTTGTCTTGTTGATCTATCCATTGTTGATAGTGGTGTGTTGAAGTCTCCCACTACGTATGTGTTTTCTCTGATGTCTGTTTTCAGAGAGGACAACAGTTGTCTGATATATTTTGGTGCTCCTTCGTTTGGTGAGTATATGTTAATGAGTGTTATTTCTTCTTGAAGTATTGTCCCCTTGATCATAATGTAGTGACCATTGGGGTCTCTTTTTATCTTTTTGAGTTTGAAATCTGTTTTATCTGATATAAGTATAGCTGTTCCTGCTTTCTTTTTTGGTCCATTTGCTTGTAGGATTGTTTTCCATCCTTTAACTTTGAGCCTATTTTTATCTTTTGTAGCTAAATGTGTTTCCTGGAGACAGCAAAAGGTTGGGTTTTGTTTCTTAATCCAGGCTGCAACTCTGTGTCTTTTTATTGAAGAGTTTAGTCCATTTACATTTAGAGTTAATATTGATATGTTAGCATCTGTATTTGCCATTGTGTTTGTCTTTCCTTTGATTTTATTTATTTATTCTTTTAATAACTTTTTTTTTTTTTGCCTTCTTTCATTGTTATTCGTCCCTCTGAGGTTCTGGCTTTAGGACTCCTTGTAGTATTTTTTGGAGTGGGGGTTTAGTTGTAATGAAATTCCGAAGTTTCTGTTTGTCTGGGAAGGTCCATATTCTTTCTTCAAAGAGGAAGGAGAGCTTTGCGGGATAGAGAATTCTTGGTTGGCATCTGTTTTCTTGGAGTCTGTTGACTATGTCCCTCCACTCTCTCCTTGCCTGTAGTGTTTCTTCGGAGAAGTCTGATGTCAGCCTGATTGGCTTTCCTTTGAATGTTATCTGTTTCTTCCCTCTTGCCAGCTTCATTATTTTTTCCTTGTCCTGGATTCTTGGGAGCTTTACTATTATGTGTCTTGCTGTATTTTTCCTTTCGTCGTGGAAGTTTGGTGTTCTTCTTGCTTCTTGTATATCAATTTTCAGCTCCTTCTTCACATTTGGGAAGTTCTCTTCAATTATCTCTTTGAATATTTTCTCTGTTCCTACATCTCTCTCCTCTCCTTCTGGTATTCCTATAACTCTTAGGAAATATGTTTTTTTAAAGATTTATTTATTTTTATATAAGAACTGGGGTACAGCCAGAGGCGCAGGAGGGTGAGAGGATTCACCAGAGACAGTGGGGAGCAGAACAGGCAGACGGACCAAAACACACTGCTGAGGGGAGCAGTGGGGAGGTCTGCCTCACCATGTGGGCATCTCCCTGGCTGGCCAGGATTGAACCCATGCTGCAGAGACTGCAGACAGCTTCACTGCACTGTGCTCAACCCGCTATGCCACTGGGGAGGCCCTGTGTTTTTGTTTTGTTGCATTTTTTTTTTTTTTGGTAGAGACTGTCAATGTATTATTACTGAAACAGATTGGGGTGTGTGTGGTGTGTAAGTGTGTGTTCTGTGTTTAGAGGGAACTGAGTTGTTGGTAGGATACATGTCTGTGAGGGCTCACGGCAAAAAAAAAAAAAAATTCAAAAAAAAGGAAAAGAATTTCCCTTCTAATTCTAATTTCTTCAAAGAACATTTGATTTTGTCAGGCTCTTTGTTACAGGTAGGCTGTATTTATTGATTTCTTTACATAGAAGGCACATGACCTTGGCAAGTATACCTCACAGTGTCAAAAGCAAATAGGAAAGAGCTCTTTTGTCAGCCTGTGAGAAAACTCCTGGGAAAGGATTCTGTCTTCCCTTTTGGGGTGGTGGGCCCTGTGGTTGGCCAACTTGGCTAGATAACCACCTCTTCAACACTCACTGTGCCTGGAGAACTTAGTCGCACAAGCTTCCCTATGGCTCCACAATAGGTCTTAATAGAGAGAGAATGAGTCTATGTGGAATCCAAGTATCTCTTCCCTAGATGGATTTGAACAATACAAGTGACATGCTACAGAAAGAAGGCTAGTAAGATGGATAGCCTCCAGAAATGGTTTGAACATAAACCTTACTCTGATAAAGCTACCTAGTAACAAATGGTTAAGAAAACTGGCATTCCAGAGTCTAAAATTCAAATTTGGTTTAAAAATCACAGATTAAGACAGAGACAATTAGAATCTGAATGCTTATTAGGGAAAGTCCAGCTTTAGCCTTTGATGCAAAAATACTTACCAAAAGAAGCCAGAGAATACCAGACAGTTATCACAAACTCTCCATCAAATTTTCGAGTTCAAACCTTTAAATGGAACCAGTTCCCTGATATTGTAGCCAGGAAAAAAAAAAGGGGGGGGGGTTGTTTAAACAACTGTGATTCCAGAGTCAAGAATTGAAAACTGAAGATCTCTGTACCCTCGACAGAGCAGAAGCAAGCCAGTGAATTCCTTGGTAGATGGCCAAATGGGAGATGATATCTCACAGTTCAGCAACACAAAATCCATCTTTCTGTATTTCCTAGTCAGGTTTCTTCATTTTCCTTCCTCTGATTCTTTCAGCTAGAACCAAACATTTCTGCCTGTTCATCTCCCATACCATATGTCCTTTGTCCCTTGTGTAATTCAAGGACCAAGTGACATGATGATGCAGCCCCTGTGGGCTGTGAAGACCGGCAAGAATTCTTCCTCTACTCTGACACTTGGGATTCATTTGCCAATGCCACCAACTCGAGATACTTAGACTGCTTTTTGGCCCCCAAACCAAGAAACATGCCAGAATCACAAAGAACAGACTGGCATGAGAAGACAGCAACTGAAGGGCTATTCTCAGCCTCATCATTAGTACAAAAAATACCAATCATAGGGTCTGGACATATCTTATATCTTGCAGTAGTGAAATGAAGGTTGCCAGACTCTGATTGCAAAATGGGATTCTAGAGAAGACCCAGACTAAGAGTCTCGTGATTATAGCACAGTCAGCTATAGAACCATCTTTATTTCCTTGGCAAGGCAAGAAAAATCAAGCCTTTAAGTCACAACTGCCATTCCCATTTTTTTTTTTTTTTTTTTTTGAAAAAGGTGCAACTTTTTCTAAGTCCTATGCCTCAGTAAGGGAGATTTTCAGGCTCTGCTGTATATACTGTGAGCTCACCATGGCCTGAACTTCAGGTGGAAGAAGATGTCATTTTCAGAATCTGGTTCAGACTTCCTTTCTTTTGATGCAAAATCAGTACAATTTACAGGATGGTGAAAGTGAAGTCATTCGTTTGTTGGGATAAGACTAATGCAGGAGGAGGGAGAAACCACTTAGAAACCTAAATGTTGGTTTTTACCCTGTCTCGTGGGCTGTGGTTATCTTCCTTACTCACTTCGCTGATTAAAGGATTGTTTTCAAGCTCCTTACTGCCTCTGAAAGCACCATGGACACTAAGTAGTAGACATATCTGTATTTTACTGACAAATATGACCTCCTCCCTGTGATCACCATGTCCTCTAGAGTCTGGAAAATCTACAAAGTATAGTTGAACCTAGAAAAGAATAAGAGACATACTGGCACTTCTTCTCTGGCAAGAAATGAAGGCAAACTTGAAATTTGTTTGTTGTATAGAAAATGAAGGGATGAAGTTTTTTTCCAGACACTTTGAGGCTTTGAATTGGAAACTAGAAATTACCTCATCATCCATCAGTAAGGGAATGCTGAAATGAATTAGGGTAAATACATAATTCTGGGGATTTTTGCTTATAATTGTATTTTTCCCTTTGACTATTTTTTTGTTACTGAAAACCTGGGATAACTTCTTCTTTTCAGTGGTCTCCCATCTTTTGAAATGGTAACTTTGGCATATACAGAGGTATGTGGTAAATGTGGGTTTATCTAACTACAGAAAAAAAAAAAGTTCTTTAGAAAATAAAAAGAGAATGAGGGAAAGGACCTTGTGACTCCTGATCGCTTTAGTATTGTCTTCCCTGGTCTTTTTCTATGGTAGGGAGCCTTTTGTAGTTCACAGCAGTTTGTGCCTGTATTCATGTAATTTTCTTTTCCTCTGCATTACAATTGTTTACATGCTGGTTTTTCATTGTTCTTGTTTGTTTGCTTGTTTTACATTTTGAAGAGTCTAGACCAGTTATTTGGTGGGATGTTCCACATTCTGGGTTTGTCTATTTCTAGTCGTATTTCCTTATTTTCATTTATCTCTTTCAGTGTTTTCTAATTCATAACCCTCATAGTGGTACTATCACAGGAGGCTGTCTTCCCTTTTCTAGTTACTATAATCTTATTTTTTTAAAGCATAAGAGGATTGAGGAGAAACATGTTGGTTCTTACCACGCTTGATTTATATTTGAACCTAATTATTTTCATGCTCAACACTTGCAAAGAGGTAAAGCTAAAGCAATATAGTCTCAAAATGTTGTCCTCTGTCTGCCTGATTCAGAATCAATCTGGGATTGATTCTTTTTTTTTTTTAATTTTTTTTCAAAGATTATTTATACAAGAACCGGGGTACAGGCCAGATGTGCGGGGGGTGAGAGGATTCACCAGAGACAGAGTGGGGAGCAGAACAGGCAGACTGACTGAAATACACTGCTGAGGGGAGCAGCGGACGAGACAGGAGAGGTCTGCCGCACCTTGCTCCCCGCCTGGTGGGATGGAACCAGCACTGCAGAGGCTGCGGACAGCTTCACAAAGCTGTGCTCAACCTCCTGCGCCACCAGGGAGGCCCATCTGGGATTGATTGTTAAACTCTCAGGTGATTCTAGTCTTCCAGGAGATTTTCAAACTTACTAAAATGTGAGAAACACTGGACTAGAGTTAAGGAGCATGGAGGAGAAATGGAAATTATAGTGTAATGTATGTCATATTAAAGGTACACATAAAATGCTATGATTACATTTATTTGAATAAACTATAAAACATTTTCATTTATACCTGCTAATGCCCATCCTTAAATGATTGGGGATGAGAGGAGAATGTGAAGAAAGGACAGCTATAACTATAAATTTTGTTGTCTCTTTATCCCTAGATGATTATAAAAACAACCAGTCTGTTGCAGTCTGTTAATCTTTTATTCATTGAATGTTTTTGTTTTTCTTTTAGTCCAAGGACAAAATGATGAGAGGCTCTCGCAGAGGATGTGTTAGACTCAGAGTGAGTATTTATTCATTTTTATAAAAACCAATTTTGAAAGAAAGAAAAAAATTATATTTTGATGGAATCTTGGAAGTCTAAATTTAGTTGAGCCTCCATACTTATTTGTTGGGATAAGCATTTGAGCTCAGAGAGAAACAAAGGATTTCTCCAAAGTCACTGTTAGTGCTAGAACCAGGACTAGGAACCAGCACTTTGACCTAGATTAAATGTTAATATTCATGACCTAATGTAGATACTGCCTTTTTTTTGTTTTGTTTTTTTTGTTTTGTTTTTTTGTTAAGTCTCTATTTTACAGATAGGGACAGGGATGGAAATTAAGTAAGTTATAGTGTTGATAGAGCAGATAATAGAAAAAATTCTGAAAAACTCTCATTTTAGCTGCTTTGTTCCTGTAGAAATATAATGCGAGCCACATATATAATTAAATATTTAGCAGTAGCCACATTTAAGAAGTAAAAAGAAACAAGTGAAATTAATTTTAATCATATATTTTGTATAGGCCAGTATATCTACAATGTTATTTCAGTGTCTGATCAGTAAAAAATTATTAATGAGGGGTTTTTTTTTTTTAGAAATTAGTTTTTATTTACCTTTAACTGAGGTAACACTGTTCTTTTCTCATGCTAAGTCTTCAGAATTCAGTATATCTTTTAGGGTACATCTTAGTTCAGACTAGCTGCACCTCAGGTGCCTAGTAATCATGTGTAGCTGGTTGCTACCTTATTGGACAGTGCAGGCCTTTAGCTTCATGACACTTTTAATTATTTTTCAGTTTCCACCACTGTCCAAATAGCTAAAGGCAAGATAGAACGCATGACTGGGGGTATAGTTTCTAGAAGTCCATTGTATCTAGAGAAGGGACTACCTCTGTCATAGGTAGGTAAATTAGCTTCTGGTAGCCTTCTTCATATTCCTGTTGTTTCCTGCCATCTTTTTTTCTGCAGCCTTACTTTTGAAGATATAACTATATTTGGTATACATATTACTTCCTTTGTTAGCAGTAACTTACTGGTAAGAATGGGGAATAACTGAGAAAGAAACCAAATTCTTTTGGAATAATTCTGGGGCTAAGATAGAAATAAGTATGGCAAATTTGCAGGATGAGAATGAGTTAGGTCTGTTTTGAGCAGATGGTGTGTATGTGATAGTATAAAGATTTTTAAAAATTCAACTTATTATATGGTGTACTTTTTCCCTTTTCCTTGGTGTTTCTTTTGTCTTCTTGATTTAATTCCTATTGTGAGCACTTGCTATTGATCTCAGACACCACTCTGTCTGGTACTAACTGCTTTGTTGGCTTGAGAGATAGACTCAATAAGAGAGATTTGGACAGAACTGTGTTGAGAGGACTCCTCGGTTGGATTCAATCCAAATTTGGGCCACTGTCTCCACTGTTATGTTGTACACAATATTTAAAAAAATAGCTTCATTAATTATTAGCCCTTGTGACTACTATTCATGTTATAAATAGAATTTTGCCAGTTAACCCCTGAAGCCTTTTTATGTGCCCCATTCAGATTACTGCTCCTTCCTGGTCTCCTAAGCGTAGCCATTATTCTATATTATATAGATATATATTCTACATACTATTCTATATTTTTATTTTGCCCATTGTTTAAAACTTGATATCTTTTGTTTGAAGTTTATCTATTAAAGAATTCAGATCCTCTGACCTGTAGTTTTCCATAGTGCAGATTTTACTGTTTGCCTGCTGGTATAATTCAGCATGTTCCTCCACCTGTTCTTTCCAGGTGGAGGAGGCTGGTCCAGAGACTCAGCTTTGATCTCTTTGGCATAAAACTAGGTGGTGGTGTGTTCTTTTATCAAGAGGTATATAATGTCTAGTTTTTAATGTATTGATATTAGCAGCTATTGATGCTTAGTACCTACACCAATGAACTCATATGGAAATCACAAAATAGTGATATTCTATCATTTTGTTCAATTTTTATCAGAAATAATTTTATAAGAAGACACTTTTTCTTCTTCTATTACTTAGTGCCCAGTGGTACAGATCAAATAGGGAGGAAATAGGAGAAAAATGCTTTATTATTTCCTGTTACCCAATTTTGAAGATAATGAATTGACTCATTTACATATCCACAAAAAAATTGCAAGTAGATACTTTTTTTTTTTAAGATTTATTTATTTATTTATACAAGCACTAGATATAGTCAGAAGTGCGGGAGGGTGAGAGAATTCACCAGAGCCAGAGTGGGGAACAGAACAGACAGACTGATGAAATACACTGCTGAGGGGAGCAGCAGGTGTCAGGAGAGGTCTGCGCGCCATGTGGGACCCTCGCCAGTGTCTGGGGATCAAACCGGCGCTGCAGAGGCTGCAGGCAGCTTCGCAGCCCAGCGCTCAACCAGGGAGGCCCTGAAAGTAGATACTTTTGAATTGAAAACAGTTATTTGTATATAGATGTGTTCCTATTGTAAACAGATAATGTTCATAGCAACATTGCTATGAGGTAGATGAAGTGGTCATTCCATGGATGAATGGATAAACAAAATGTGGTATATACATACAGTGGAATATCATTTAGTCTCAAAAAGGAAGAAAATTTCTGACACATGCTATTACAACATGGATGAACCTTGAGGATGTTATGCTAAGTGAAATAAGCCAGTCATAAGAACACAAGCACTGCATGGTTGTAATCTGAGATGCCTAGAGTAGTGAAATCCACAGAGACAAAGTAGAATAATGGGATTTAGTGTTTAATTGGTACGAGTTTCAGTTTGGGCCATGGTGATGGTTGCACAACAATGGGAATGCCCTTAATTCACTGAGCACTTAAACATGTTTAAATGATTTTTTAAAAAGTATGTGTATTTTACAGTTTATAAACTCTACTTATTTAACCTCACAGTTCTATAGCTCAGATATTTTTGCAAAGGTTCTCTGCTGAAGGTCTCACAAGACTGAAATCAAGGTATCAGACATGCTGGGCTCTTCTCTTGAGGCTCTGAGAAAGAATCTGCTTCCAAATTCATTCAGGTTGTTGGCAGAATTTAATTCCTTGTGGTTGTAGGACTGAGACCCTTATTTTCCTGCTCACTGTTAGCAGGGCTTTGCTCCCAACACTGGAGGCTTACGTAAGAATGCCATATGGCACCTCTAGACTTGCACATCCAAGTCCAGCTAGTGCTTTGAATCTCCCTGACTTTCCATTCTTCTACTAGCTGCAGAAAATACTGCCTTTAAAAGACCTCAAGTGATTGGGTAGGTCAGACCCACCAGATAATCTCCCTTTTGCTTTCTTTTTAAAAATTTTTTTTAAGTTATCACCTTAGTGATAACTCATTTTATAATATCTCCTCTTATTCAGTTGCCACCCATACCCAAAGGGGAATAGATTTTACAGTGCACAGGTTATTTAGGGTTATTTTTAGAATTTTGCTTACTAAACATCTTGACAGAGAAGAACCAGACATACCCATATTTGAGTCTTATTTTGCCCTTTGGTTGAAAGGAGGGAAGCTATGTGTAAGATTACTGAGTTTGAGTTTTCTTTTTTAAAGTAGGGGGTATAATATTGTTGCCAAATTTTGTGACCATTAGGCAGCCTGGCACATAGATGAAAACAAGTAGGGGTGGTGGTAGTGGTGGTGGTGGGTGTTAAGAAACCATGTTTTGAAAAGCTGGACTGCCAGTAGACTTCCTATTTCAAAAATATCTGGAGAGTTTGTTTACAATATAGGTTTCCACATCCACTCTGTAGACAGATACCCACTCTTAGAATAAGGTTTGGAACCTTTACTTTTAAACATATTCTCTTGGTGAATGTATTGTGCAGCCAAGTTTGGGATCTCTGGTATAGCAGAAAGAATCAGAGACCTGAAGCTGAATCTCACTCACCTCTTACTGATTCTGTGCTATTGGGTAAATTTAACCTCCATGAGAATAACATTATATAACTTGCAAGGTTTTTGTGATATTTAGCAATTATTAATATATATGTACACAGTTTGGCACATAGCACACATCCAATAAATTGTACCTGTGGTAGATGATGATGACAGTGGTGGTGATAGATAACATATCATCTAGGCTCCAAGGGGATTATATAAAAAGCTCTGGGTTACAGTGTGTGTGTACATTTATGTGTATATATACATATATGTACATACTATATATGTGTGTGTGTATACATACATTACATGTACATTGTATATATACATTGTGTGTGTGTGTATGTATATAAAGGGGCTGCCATTGACCATGCCACAGATCTCTTTCTACATCTCCATTCATCCATCCTGTGTTCCATCCACACTGTATACTTCGTTGTGTTCCCTCACTTTGTGTTCTCTCATTTCTCCTGACAAGCTTTTTCTTACATCGAGAATGTTTTGTCTGGTGAGCTCATCTTTTAAGAGATTTTTCAAGTGTTGATTCTTCTCTAAAGCATTCCTGATCCACATCCTTTCAACTGTTTAGGTCCTTCTCTCTCAGCCATGAACGTATATATTACATGGCACTACATGTTAACTTGTTTGTTTTCCCAGTCAATGGTGAGTTCCTTTCTGTTTTAAGTGCCTGGTACATAAAAAGTAGATACTTAAAAGGTAGCTATTGTTGATTTTATTTATAAAAATAATAAATATTAGGGAATTTGTCTTTACCATAGTTTACATACAAAAGAACTGTGGAAGTTATTTATCTTAAAACAAATTTTTACCTAGTGGTATGATGTATTTTCTGACAAAGGAAAACACCCATGTGGTTTTATGCTACAAATGGGAAAGGAATCAGTAGCTGTTGAGGAACCTTTTTGGATCAGGAATTGTGCTGAATGATTTTCACATGTATTCCCATGATAAACCTCTCAGGTAAATGGTGTTATTTCATTTCATAGATGAGGGAACTGAGACTAGAACTGTTTCAGTAATTTACCAAGTCTCACAGCAAATGATGAATCTGGGATTGAATGTGGGTCTGTGTCTTTTAAAAACCCAGTTAGTCCTTAGTGTTACTAGGCTCTTATTCTT